ATATGAAAGTTTTGTCAGGTATCTAGAACCTCTTCCCCAGGAGCAACACAAGGTGTTTGCATCTATTGATTTATTATTGTAACTGAATGAAAACTCCAAGTTCAAGTTCTGAGGCCTAGATGATGGTGAGAACCTCTTTCACTGAATTTGTAGGGTCCTCAGGGGAGTCCTCAGAATCCACATTGGGTGTCAGTGATGGGGGCTTGGGTCAATTGCATCTGACCTACAAGGAGAATGGAAACTCCTTTTATATCCTAGGCTTCTGCACCACCCTTCAGTGGTACAGCCTCTAACAGCATAACCATAAACTCTCCACCCTTTGCCTACAACAATCCTAGAAACAAACCTGAGGCCCCACTAGATGTCAAATTCACTTAAATTTCTCCCCTCACTCAGTCTTCTCTGGTTCTGAGCCCCCCATTCACTCCATAGCCATGAACAAGCAATCATTTTTGACAAATACCTCAATTTTCTTTTACCTTTCTCTTTCCACTGCATTTACCCGACAGAACTTCAGCCCTGGTGTGAGTTTGTGAGTTGGTCATCTTCTCAGCCCCTAACTTTTGCTCACAAACCAAGATGCCTACATCTAAGCTATCAGAGGGGACTGCCCCACTTTCCCATCAAAGGCCATCCCCTCCATCTGGGACCTTGATCCCATTCCTTCTTGTCTTTTCGGGTCTTTGCTCCTTAAGTTAACATAAATATTACATACATACACAAGGTCAGTGGCTGTGCTGTACATAATTGCACAACTAGAAACCTTCCACACATCCATCAATAAAAGGGATGTTAAATAAATAGTGGTATAATGTACAATTATGAAAGTTTTCTGTGGAATACTCCTTTATACTGTATGAATATGTGTTGCTGTGAGTGGTTTAATAGAGAAGCTGACTGGGCAATAGCTGGATAGGATAAGGTTAGGCGGGGAGCCAAGCTAAGGACTCTGGGAAGAAGAAGTGGGAGTCAGAGGAGTCACCAGCCAGACACAGGAAACAGGAGGCACAAGAAGAAAGGGAGGCAATGCCTCGTGGCAGAATGCAGATTAATATAAATGGCTTAATTTAACTTGTAAGACTTAGTTACTAGGGGCTGGAGACATGGCTCAGAGGTTAAGAGCACTAGCTGGTCTTCCAGAGGTCCTGAGTTCAATTCCCAGCAACCACATAATAGTTCACAACCATCTAAAATGAGAGCTGGTGCCCTCTTCTGGCTTGCAGGTAAAATAATAAAAAATAAGTCTTAAAAAGCCTGAACAAGCCGGGCGTTGGTGGCGCATGCCTTTAATCCCAGCACTAGGGAGGCAGAGGCAGGTGGATCTCTATGAGTTTGAGGCCAGCCTGGTCTACAGAGCGAGTTCCAGGACAGCCTCCAAAACAATTCAGAGAAACCCTGACTCGAAAAACCAAAAAAAAAAAAAAAAAAAAAAAAAAAGCCTGAACAAGCCTCCTGAACTTTTGGCCGAGCATTTATATTTTGGTTGTGAGGCTAGCCTTTAACTGCTAAGCCATCTCTCCAGCCCTTATAATTATTATAATTATTATAAACCTCTTTTTGGTTATTGGGGATCAGGCTGATGGTGGCTCACAACCATCTGTAGTGAGATCTGGTGCCCTCTTCTGGCTTACAGGGATACATGCAGACGGAACACTGTATACATAATAAGTCTTAGAAAATTAAAAAATAAAAAGATTGATTTATTAGTTAATTGTATTTGTGTGCATTGTATGTGCTCATTGTGGTCCACCTGTGGAGATCAAAGAATAAATTTTCTGGAGCATGTTCTCTCCTTTCACTTGGGATTGAACTCAGTCAGCCTTGGTGGCAAGAGCTTTCATCTAAGGGATTGCTCCAGTCCTAATTATGTGGGTTTTTGTTTGCTCTTTTTTTTTTTTTTGGTTTTTATGAGACAGGGTTTCTCTGTATTGTTTTGGAGGCTATCGGCCCAGCCCGGCCTCGAACTCACATAGACCCGCCTGCCTCTGCCTCCCGAGTGCTGGGATTAAAGGCGTGCGCCGCCACCGCCTGGCCTTGTTTGCTCTTTTTTAGACAAGGTTTCCTGGCTGTCCTGGAACTTACTCTGTAAACTAGGTTGGCCATGAACTCACAGAGATCCGCCTGCCTCTGCCTCCCAAGTGCTGGGATTAGAGGCATGCACCACCATCCCTGGCTATGTGTACAACTTCTTTTTTTTTTTTTTTTGGTTTTTCGAGACAGGGTTTCTCTGTGGCTTTGGAGGCTGTCCTGGAACTAGCTCTTGTAGACCAGGCTGGCCTCGAACTCACAGAAATCCGCCTGCCTCTGCCTCCCAAGTGCTGGGATTAAAGGCGTGCGCCACCAACGCCCGGCTATGTGTATGACTTCTATCTGTAAGTTAAGTGCACTGGTGTGTGCAGTGTCCCCAGAGGTCAGAAGAGGGCAGCAGAGCCCCTGGACCTGGAGTTTCAGGTGGTTGTGAGTAACCACGTGGCTTTTAGCAATAGAACCTGCATTTTCTGCAAGTGGTGAACCAATCTGCCTTCATTTTAGGCTAAAACCCACCTCATATTAAAGACAAATTAGTCTCATTCCTGTTTATGATTAAATCTCTGTTTCTCAAGAATTGGGCACTGCCCCTCCTGTAACCTTAGCTACAAATGGTTCTATACTACCTATTCCAAGAACCTGCAACCATGTCTTTTTTTCAAAAAGTTGTGATAGCCATCTTGCAAGACTACCTTGTTATCAACTAGCTTGCAGCCATATCTTTGCTTCAGAAAGTTGAACTTGCTGTGCTTCTGTTCTGCTCCTGTAACCCCAACTAGTTTGTCCACCAACGTCCCATTTGGAAACCCCCTACCCCTGAGCTATAAAACCTTTTTTTCCCACACATCCAAAGTTGATCTTTGGAACTCTATTAGGTGTAGATGAGTAAAAAAGCTTGCTTTAATTAATTTAGCCCATGATGATTTTCTCCTTGAATTTTTGGGATTAACACAAGAGCATCAAATACTGTTAATCTCTCTAGCACCATCCAGCTCTGCTATTGTTTTGAATGTGGATGTGGGGGTACAGAGTCAGGAGGTTAGCATTTTTTTTAACATCTCACTTTTTAAAAGACATCTTTTATTTGCATGGCTTTTTGCATGTAAACCATCAGAGTTCTTGGTGCTCTGTGTAAGCATTCCGACGGATCGGATGGGACAGGTATTCTGGCACTCGGGAATCACAGAATACTGAGTGTTACACAGCTCAGATGGGAAGGTATCCTGGAGCTCGGGAGCCAAGGACTACCACAAGCCACAGTAAGCGTAGCAGCTTACAGCCCTGCCTTAGGGAAATGCTTCCTCAGTGTATCAGCTCTGCTCTAGCAGGAGAGGGTTTCCCAGCTGGGGATGTTTTCCCAGTGCAGCAGTTTTGCTCTGGCAGGAGAGGGCCTCTGGGTGAACTTGCTACAGTTCAGCCTTGGAAGAGCCGAGTGCAACAACTCTGCTCTGCCAGGGGATGGTTTCCCAGCAAAAGTGTTACAGCCCTGTTTGCTCTGTTCTGCCCAGGGTCGTCTCTGCTCTGCCGGAAAAGAAGGTCTTCACCAAAAGCTCATTGAAGGGTTTTATTGGGAGGGAAGAATCCAGGAGAGTTGCTGCTATGGCAGAAGGCAGCTGGGTATCAGGAACAGCCACAAACTGAACAGACAGAGGGTTTATATAAGGATTCTTGGGGGGGGGTGTTTCCAGGGTGGGGATTGGCCAGATTTCAATCTCCTGCTCAGGGATTGGCTAGTTTTCTGCACAAGGCTAGGGTCAGATTTGGCTCGAGTTTTCAGGGCCAAAGTGTGTTTCTTTCTTTCTTTCTTTCTTTCTTTTTTTTTGGTTTTTCGAGACAGGGTTTCTCTGTGGCTTTGGAGGCTGTCCTGGAACTCGCTTGGTAGTCCAGGCTGGTCTCGAACTCACAGAGATCCGCCTGCCTCTGCCTCCCGAGTGCTGGGATTAAAGGTGTGCGCCACCAACGCCCGGCCAAAGTGTGTTTCTTTCTCTGGTCCTTTTTAGACTTTTGGCTCTAGTTTTAGGGCCAGGGTGTATTTCTTTCACTGGCTCTGATTCCAGGGACAAAGTGTATTTCTTTGGCACTGGTTTCAGGGTCAGGGTCCATTTCTTTGGTTTTTGTTGCAAGGCCAAAGTGTGTTTCTTTGGCTGGCTCCTTTTCCCTATAATCTGATGGCCAGAGGAGGGCCTCAGATACCCTGGTATTATACAAGGTTATGAGCCACTAAGTCGGTGCTGGAAACCAAACTTGAGTCCTCTGCATGAGCAACAAGTGTTTTTAATGGTTAAGCCATCTCTCTAGCACCTTTATCTTTTTTGTTGTTTGTTTTTTGAGGGGGAGTTTCTTTCTTTTTCTTTTTTTTTTCTTTTTTTCTTTTTGGTTTTTACAAGACAGGGTTTCTCTGTATTGTTTTGGAGGCTATCGGTCCAGCCCAGCCTCGAACTCACAGAGATCCGCCTGCCTCTGCTCTGGCTGTCCTGGAACTTGCTTTGTAGACCCGCCGGCGCCTCTGCCTCCCGAGTGCTGGGGTTCCAGGTGTAGGCTCTCAGACCCGGCTTCCACCAGAGTCCTATTTCAAAACCTAACGGCTTGCATAGAAAGTAGGGAACTCTGAGCTTCAGGCTAGTAAGATGCTGCGGATGGGGAAGCAGGCTTTCGAGCGCCAGTGGGCGGGCTCCGGCGAATCGGGACCTTAGGCCCCGCCCAGGCCACTTCGCGTATCGTCGGCGCCAAACTTCCCGTCTCTTCTCGTCGGAGGGAGTTCCTGAATCTCGCGAGAGGTGCTGTTGGCGCGCTCCGCAGTGGCCGCTGTCTGTGTGAGGTGAGGCCCGTTTCGGTGAGGGAGTCTCTGGAAGAAGCAGCAGCACTGGAAGTTGGGCGCGGGGGCTGCGGGAACTGGGGTCGTCAGAGCTAGGCTGCAAGGCGGCTGAGGAGGGCCAGACGGAGCGGGCGGGAGGCGTCCGGGCGGGAGGGTGTCGGGCCGCCCCAGGGGCGGCGTCTTCTCCGCACGCACAGACCCTTGGCGCCAAGCGTCGTCGGGACGGAGAATGTGGGGTGAATGAAGGATGTGGGGTGAATGAAGGATGGCACCTAGGCTGAGTCAGGGTGCTGGGCTCCTTTAAGGTGAGGCGCGTCTCCGTGACAACTGGGACACTTGTACGTTTGTAACAGGTGTGGGAAGGAATTGCCACTCGGATGTTGAATTTGTTAGCCATACTTCTCTGGGAGTTTGAGGACCGGGAGGGAAATAGAGACTTCCGCGTCTAAAAGATGTTGTCAAGGGAGAAAGGAGCTTAGTGAACAACTGATTCTTTAAGTACATTAAAAGAAACCAGTCTACTGATAAAGGCCCCACCGCGTGCTTTACTGGTTATTTGCTGCTAATTGTAGCTTTAAACTACAATTTTCAAACTCCCGAATGGAACTACATGTACTCACCAGATGCTTGGAGGTTTGGGGCGCTTCTCTGGGCTAGAACCCAGGCTGAGAGCTACAGTAGGCACACCTACAGTCTTCAGCCCTAAGCAGTGCCATGAAACTTGTCCTTTTTTTTTTTTTCTTCCCCCAGACAGGGTTTCTCCAGCTTTGGAGCCTGGCCTGGCCTTGAACCCAGCGAGCGATCCGACTGCCTCTGTCTCCTTAGTGCTGGGATTAAAGGTGTCTGCCACCACTGCCTGGCTGTTGTAACTTGTCTTTTTGGTTCTCCAAACCTGTGGTTCATAAAACTTACTCAAAGAATTGGCCGCTTATTATCAGAGTTAGTACTTTGCTTTTATGGTCATAGATTTAGAATTGGGGGCCAGCTAGGTGGCTCTGCAGATAAGGATAGTGCTTGGGGAACAAGACTTGATCCCCAGATCTCATGTAAAAGATGGAAAGAACTGACTCCACAGGGTTGTCCAATTGCCCATTTACACACACACACCCAATAATTAGTAAAAATAATATAAAGGTCTGTACTTGACCCAGCTGAAGATACCGTTGAATTTCAGAGCCTCTTGATCTGTCTGAGGACTGGGATTACAAGCCCATGCACCACCCCACATACACCTAGTGTGTGGGGTACTGGGAATTGAATCCGGGGCTTTGTGAATGCTAGCCAAGCCCTCTACCAGCTGGGTTACATCTGCATTCTGTGTTGTATGTGTGTATAGACAAGAACTCTGTTGCCCAGATTGGCTTTCTGGGCTCCCACTTCAGACTCATAAATGTTGGGATTACAGTGCATATCACCGTTACTGTCTTGGATTTTTTTTTTTGTTTTGTTATGTTTTTACGAGACAGGGTTTCTCTGTATTGTTTCAGAGGCTATCGGTCCAGCCCGGCCTCGAACTCACAGAGACAGGAGTCAGAGACAGGTGGATCTCTGTTCAAGGCTGGAATGCTCTACAGAGTGAGTTCCAGGACAGCCAGGGCTACACAGAGAAGCCCTGTCTTGAAAAAACCAAAACAAACCTAAAACAAAATACCATTATTATTACTATTTATTTTTATTATTATTATTATTATTATTATTATTATTTTGAGCCAGGGTGTCTCTGTAGCTTTGGAACCTGTCCTGGGACTCACTCTGTAGACCAGGTTGGCCTTGAACTCAAAGATCTGCCTGCCTCTGCCTCCCAAGGGCTTCAACTAAAGGTGTGTGCTGCTGCCACTGCCACCTGGTAACATCCAGGTTACAGCAGAGATGGTTCTTTCAAGGAATTTAAAAAGAGAGTATGAGAGAGATGGCATGAAATGAAGCTGGCATGGGATAAATTTTATTTTTAATATTTTCGAGACAGGGTTTCTCTGTGGCTTTGGTAAATTTTATTTTATGTGTTTTTTTTTGAGATGGTTTCTCTGTGTAGCCCTGGAGCTGGCTGAATCTGTAGACCAGGGTGGCCTCAAACTCTAGAGATCCACCTGCTTCTGACTTATTTTTTTAAATTTATTTTTGTTTCATGAGCATTCAGTTTTATCTGTGTGTATGGACTGTGTGAAGGTGTTGGATCCCTTGAAGTTGGAGTTACAAGCAGTTATAAGCTATCATGTGGGTGCTGGGAATTGTACCTGGGTCCTCTGAGAGAGCAGCCAGTGCTTCTAACTGCTGAGCCATCTCTCCAGCCCCTTAATCTTTTTTAAAAGTGTCTCTTGGTCTAGGCCAGCCTTGAACTTGTTATATAGCCAAGGCTGACCTTGGGTTCCTGATTCTCTTTTTTTTTTTTTTAATTTTATTTTCCAGTTTAAATTTAGATAAGAATCAAGGTTGCTTCACATTCAGTTCCAGGTCCCTCTCCCATTCCCTCCCTTCCTCCCGTGCCCTCCCTTCCCCCCTCCTGATTCTCTTTTAAGTGCTGGAATTACAGGTGCCACCATTGGTAACAAAAATTATTTTTGCAATTGAATGTTTTTTCTTTTTTTGAGACAGTGTCTCTCTAGCCCTAGCTGTCCTGAACTTGCTATGTAGATCACATTGACCTCAACTCAGAGGTCTGCCTGCCTCTTTCCTGAATGCTTCGCTTGACCCGTGTACCAGCTCCATTGCATTTCTTTTTTTTTTTTTTTTTTTTTTTGGTTTTTCGAGACAGGGTTTCCCTGTGGCTTTGGAGGCTGTCCTGGAACTCGCTTGGTAGTCCAGGCTGGTCTCGAACTCACAGAGATCCGCCTGCCTCTGCCTCCCGAGTGCTGGGATTAAAGGAGTGCGCCACCAACGCCCGGCCTGCATTTCTTTTTTTTTCTTTTTCTTTTTTTTTTTTTTTTGAGATAGGGCTTCTGTGTGTAGCCCTGGCTGTCCTGGAACTTGCACTGTAGACAAGGCTGGCCTTAAATGCAGAGATCTACCTGCCTCTGCCTCCTGAGTGCTGGTATTAAAGGAATGTGCTGCCACCACCTGGCTGAAGGAAAAATATTGAAAGAATATTTCAGAAACTAAATGAACAGGATATATTGAGAACAGGGAGAAAGTGTCAAAGATAACTTTTAAGTCTTTTACTTGAACAGCTTGATGGGTGTCACTGAATTGAGGACATTTAGTTATTTAGTTTTGTATATGATGAACTAATAAATGTCCTTGAGACACTTGAGAGTTGCAAAATGGATAACAGGGATCTGCAGTCCCAAATTGTGGTCTAGGTTGGAAGAATAAAAATTCATAACCTGGGGACTAGAGCAATGTCTTAGTGGTTAAGAGCACTGGCTGATCTTCCAGAGGACCTGGGTTTGATTCCCATCTACTTGGCAGCTCAAAACTGTAACTTGAATTCCATGGTCTGATGTCTTCTGGTCTCCACAGGCACTGAATACATGTGTGATGCACAGACATATAGGCAGGCAAAACACCCATGTATATCAATATTAAAGAAAACATTCAGTTATTTAGTGGTAGGGTCTACACTACACCTTGGTTCTGATTAGTGGTTTTCCTCTATACTTCTATCTTCTCTACTTTTTATCTTGGGTGAAATGAAATGTAGTTTAAATGAGTAAAACATGACTGAAACATGGCTTTCAGTGTGGATGGAACTAGATTGTGTGATAGGAAGAGTTTTGGATGAATAAAAATAACTTGGTTTTTTTCTTCTGGAGGAAAAGATGTTAGAGCAAGAAGAGAATGGCTTGTTTGAAATACCAGATTATGAATATGTAGAAGATGAAACTTTTCCTCCATTCCCACCTCCAGCTTCTCCTGAGAGAGATCCTGCAGAAGTGGAACCTGATGAAGGTCTGTATTGAGAATTTCACAGGTATCCCTTTGATGTGGTTTTTTTGTTTGTTTTTTTGAGACAGGATTTCTTCATATAGTCCTGGCTATCCTGGAACTCTCTGTAGACCAGGCTGGCTTCAAACTGAGAGATCTGCTTGCCTCTGTCTCCCGAGTCCTGGGATTAAAGCGGTGCACTACCACCAACCCGGCAGTTTGAGACAGGGTTTCTCTGTAACTTTGGAGGTTGTCCTGGAATTCTCTCTGTAGACCAGGCTGGCCTCGAACTCACAGAGATCTGTCTGCCTCTGCCTCCCAAGAGCCTGGATTAAAGGTGTGCACCAACAATGCCTGGCCCCAGTTTGTTGTTTTAAGACAAGATTTCACAGTATATTCCAGGCTAACCTTGCTCTCACAATCATGCTCTAGCAGATTAAGTTAGAATGATACATTTTTTTTTTGAGACAGGGTTTTTCTGTGGCTTTGGAGGCTGTCCTGGAACTCGCTTGGTAGTCCAGGCTGGTCTCGAACTCACAGAGATCCGCCTGCCTCTGCCTCCCGAGTGCTGGGATTAAAGGCGTGCGGCACCAACGCCCGGCTAGAATGATACATTTTATAAAGCTTGAATTTCTAAAAATTACTGTATTTATTCATTTGTGTGTATGTGTGTATGGAGGTCACAGGACAACTTTCAGGTTGTCCACCATGTGGGTATGGGGTTTGAACATAGTCAGGCTTGGTGGCTAGTGCCATCACCCACTGATGCATCTTGAGGGCCCAGGGTTTACAGTTTTAAACACTAAGTTTTGATCTTTTTCTCTAGAATCAGGGAGAGGAGCACCAGTTCCTGTACCACCAAAGAGAACAGTTAAAAGGAATCTACCCAAGCTAGATGCTACTAGGTATGGGTAGTTACTCTCGTACACTTACAGTTTTCCACGCAGTGTTTTTCTTTTACTGTTACAAGCTTTGGTTGAATGATTTGGAAATCATATAGTTCTGTAAGCATTTTCCCCTTTGTAAATATTTTATTTTTTTCTAATTCATGAGGAAGTTATTTTTTCTCATGGTGTTGTTTTTGACATGGCTAATAAACCTAAAATTCAAAATATTATTTCTTTCACAGATTAACCTCTGAGAGAGGGCTTCCAGCCTTAAGGCATGTGTTTGATAAGATAAAATTCAAGGGGAAAGGTCATGAGGTAAGAAACATTTGATCGATCTTTGTTAGTACTGGGCATTGGATCCAGGACAAGTGTTTGAACACCTGCTAAATAGTACTACTAGAATATATTCAATCCTGGTTTTTATTTTAAGACTTTTTTATATATTCATTTTAATTTTTTTTGATACAAGAGTATCACTATCTAGCCCTGGCTAGCTATGGTGATTTGAATAAGAATGCCACCCTGTCATATATGTAAAAGCTTAGTCACTGGGGAGTGGCACTGTTTGAAAGGATCAGAAGATTGGGAGATGTGCCCTTGCTGTCACTGGGGTTGGGCTTTGATGTTTTGAAAGCCTATGCCATGCCCAATCCTGCTCTCTGCCTATGGATCAAGATGTAGCTCTCAGCTACTGCTCTAGTGCCTTCCTGCATGCCACCATGCTCCTTGCCATGATGAAATAGACTGAGCCTTTGAACCTGTGAGACCCCTCTTACAGGTGTTGGTGGCACACGCCTTTAATGCCAGCACTGGGGAGTCAGAGGCAGGCAGATCTCTTGAGTTCAAGACCAACTTGGTCTACAGAGTGAGTGTCAGGATAGGCTCCAAAGCTACACAGAGAAACCCTGTCTCAAAAAACCAAAAAAAAAAAGTTATTTATTATGTACACAGTGTTCTGTCTGTATGCCTGAAGAGCACGCCAGATCTTATTACAGGTGGTTATGAGCCACCATGTGGTTGCTGGTAATTGAACTCAGGACTTCTGGAAACCAGTGCTCTTAACTGCTGAGCCATCTCTCCTGCTTCTTAAATACCTTTTTTTTTTTTTTTTTTAAAATAAAGAGTAACCTTGGTCATGGTGTTTCTTCATAGCTGATTTAAAGGATGCTAAACTGGCCTTTGGTGGGGGGTGAGACACAGGAGGCAGAGACAGAGAGGTTGATTCTCTGTGTAGTCCTGGCTGTCCTGGCACTTGCTGTATAGACCAGACTGGCTTCAAACTCAGAGATCTACCTGCCTCTGCCTCCCCAGTGCTGGTATCTGGTATCAAAGGTCTGTGCCACCATGCCTGGCAGCTTTGTTTTAATTTCGTATTGCTGTTTCCCCTCAGTGGGTGTGACTGTGGGTGTGCATGTGTGTGGTGTTGCCAGAGGTCAGTTTCAGGTTTGCTTCCTCAGGCTTTATCCAGTGAGCCTTAGTGTCAGCTTATCTTTGTTTCTTCAGCACTAAGATTGAATGGGTCTGCCACTGTCTCAGAGTTTCTCTTGCTGTGATGAAACACCATAACCAAAAACAAGTTGGGGAGGAAATTGCTTATTTGTCTTTTACTTCCATATTATTCATCGTTGGAGGAAGTCAGGTCAGGAACTCATGGGGCAGGAACCTGGAGGCAGGAGCTGAAGCAGAGGCCATCGAGGAATGCTGCTTACTGGCTTGCTCTTCATGACTTGCTCAGCTTTCTTTCTTACAGAACCCAGGACCTCTTGCTCAGGGGTGGTATCTCCCACAATGGGCTGGGCCCTCTCACTGGCCTGTCTATTGTCTGATTGATTGAGGCATTTTCTGAGTTGAGGCTCCTTCCTCTCCAGTGACACTAGCTTGTGTCAATTTGACATAAGAAGCCAGTACAGCCACTGTACCTGGATTTTTTTTTTTTTATGTAGGACTAAGGATTGAATGCTGGTTCTCAGGCTTATTCTGCAGGCATGTAACCAACTGGACTGTCCTCCCAGCCTTGTACTACTGTATTTCCCTCTAATTTCTAAAACTTTGTCTAAAACAAAATCTGTATTCAGTGCTCTTACTTAATGCTTTCTGAGATTGTGGTCTTCCAAGCCCTTAGAATTTTCTGCTTCTTTCTAGAAGTTTCTTAGCCTTATAAATGTGACAGCAGTGACTTTGGCATTGCCTTTAAATGCTAAAATCTGCTAACAGGGTCAGCTGTGAGATTGAGTATTCTGTTCAGCATTTTTATTTTTATGTGTCAGGCTGAAGACTTGAAAACGCTAATCAGACACATGGAGCACTGGGCACATAGGCTATTCCCCAAACTGCAATTTGAAGATTTTATTGACAGAGTTGAAAACCTAGGAAATAAAAAGGAGGTTCAGGTAAGTGTGATTATCGTGGCATGTCATTCACAATGCTAAGTAGTACAAAGATGAATTTAGTTGAGGCTGAACTGCTATTAGGGAGTCTTTTGAACTCTTGTCTTGTTAGACAGGAAAATTAATAGTCATTATTTGAAGAACAATTCTTTCAGATATGAGTAAATGATTGTTTCCTCCCTAACTTATTGATAAAATGGAAAAAATGTCTCTTTTTCAGACCTGTTTAAAACGAATTCGACTTGATCTCCCTATTATACATGAAGATTTTGTTAGCAATAATGGTAATTACAACTTTATTTTCTTTATCACAGCATTTATAAATGGCTCTAGCTGGAGCAGGAGATATTATATATACAACTGAGGTCTTAACCCACGTTTATGTAACTACAGTATAGTTAATAGTTGTACCGTGAGTTTAGTCTAGTTTTTGGTAAATCTTGAATGCACTTAAGTATGCCTGTAATGAGCTACTATTTATTCATATGGGTATAGATTGCAGAGGACAACCTTCACCCATGTCAATCCCAGGGATTGTACTCAGGTTGTCAGACTTGACAGCAAGGGCCTTTATCCACTGATACATCTCCTTAGCCCAGTAATAGTTACATTTGATACTTGTTTCTTTTTTATTAGCTTTAGCATACAAAAGAATGAGTTTCAGCCAGGTATGGTGGTAGATGCCTTTAATCTCAGCACTTAGGAGTCAGAGGCATCGTTGTGAGTTGAATACCAGCCTAGACTACATAGTTCCACAACAGCCAAAACTACTTAGACTCTGCCTCACTTCCCGCCCCCCAAAAGAATGTGCTTCACTATGAGATTTTCACGTGTATGTCATTGTACTTTGTTCAAGTCCATGTTACCTTTCCTTGACTCCTTCCCTTTTGAACTTTATTTCCTAAAGATTGTAGACTGGCAGGGTGGTACACATGCCTTTAATTCTAGCACTCAGGAAGTAAGACAGGTAGTTCTGAGTTTGAGGCCTAGTCTGCATAAGGAGGAGCTCCAAGGACAGCCAGGGCTACATACTGAGAAATTATCTCAGATACATAAATAATCAGAAAAGATACAATTGTAGTATTGTTAGACATGAATAGAAAATATTTATAAAATAGGGACATTTTAAACATTTATGTTGTATTTGTGCTCATGTGTCATGGCTTGTGTGTGATTAGGACTTCTGGAGTTGGTTTTTCCATCATGTAGGTTCTAGCAATTAAAGGTTGTGAAGGTTGTTTTGAGAACCTGCTGACTTTATTGATCTCTTACAGTCCTTGCTAGTGCAAATACACACTAGAGTGTTCATATGCATATAAACCATTACAAAAACTGTCTCTGGGACAGGGAAAATAATTTGTTGGTAGAAATTTCCATTTCATTCAATGTGTGGACTCTTTTTTTTTTTTTTTTTTTTTTTGGTTTTTGAGACAGGGTTTCTCTGTGGCTTTGGAGGCTGTCCTGGAACTTGCTTTGTAGACCAGGCTGGTCTGGAACTCACAGAGATCCGCCTGCCTCTGCCTCCTGAGTGCTGGGATTAAAGGCATGTGCCACCACCACCCGGCCTCAATGTGTAGACTCTTGAACTATGAGTGGTAACACATTTCTGTAATCCCAGCATTTAGAAGGTAGAAGTAGGAGATGTAATTGGGCGTTTCACTCCTGTCCACCTGTTCCCAAATACCCAAAGACCTTGTAGCTGATTCTCAAATAGTTGACTTGGGGGCTTAATATAAATTACAAATGCTCTGCCGATAGCTCAGGCTTGTTGCTAGCTAAGTCTTAATCTTTAAGTTAACCCATATTCCTTACTTACACTCTGCCACGTGGAGGTACCTTTATTAGTATGTTCCTCTCCTGCTCCTTCTGACTCTGCCCTTCTTTCCACCATTTTCAGTTTGGCTTTCCCACCTAATTATCCGGTTCAGCTATTGGCCAGTCAGCTTGTTAATTAAACCAATCAAACCAATATAGTCACACAGTGTACAGAAGGATTAAAGTTCAAAGCCAGCCTTGACTACATAGTGAGTATACAAGATCCTGTTTCAAAAACAAAAATCCTAGAGAACAGATCCATGGCTATAGGACTTTAGGAAGACTTACGTGACTGTTCCTGGTATTGATTGCATTTGTTAGTTGTACAGTGCAACCATAGACAGTCACATACATCAAAACAGTTGGTTCCTGCCGACAGAGTCTGTATAGTTATCAGATTTTCTGTGCGATGGCTCCATACATAAATACTTTTAAAACTTTTTTGTGGGGTGGGGGAAGTGGGGTGCGGTGTGGGGGTGCAGCTCGAGTTTCAAGACAGGGTTTCTCTGTGAGACCAGGCTGACCTTGAATTCAAGAGATCTACCTGCCTGTGCCTCCTGAGTGCTGGGATTAAAGGTGTGCACCACCCCACCCTACTTAAAACTTTTTTAAAAGTGTAGTTTTAATTATGTGTGCATCTGTATGTGTGAATGCTTTTTTTTTTTTTTTTTTTTTTGGTTTTTCGAGACAGGGTTTCTCTGTGGCTTTGGAGTCTGTCCTGGAATTCACTTTGTAGACCAGGCTGGCCTCGAACTCACAGAGATCCACCTGCCTCTGCCTCCCGAGTGCTGGGATTAAAGGCGTGCACCACCAACGCCCGGCTTGTGTGAATGCTTTTGATGCTCCTCTATTTGATGAAAATCCTTTGCTATGTCTTAGTTTGATGTTAGATTATTGCTTTTTTTTTTTCCCCTTCGACACAGGGTTTCTCTGTGGCTTTGGAGGCTGTCCTGGAACTAGCTCTTGTAGACCAGGCTAGCCTGGAACTCACAGAGATCAACCTGTTTATGCCTCCCTAGTGCTGGGATTAAAGGTGTGCGCTACCACCCAGATGCACTGCATTTCTTTTCTAATTAGTAATATATAGACTCCACATAAAATCTTATGGATTAAATCAGTGGTTCTCAACCTTCTTAATGCTGTGACCCTTTAATACAGTTCCTCATATTGTGGTGACCCCTAGCCATGAAATTATTTTTGTTGTTACTTCAATTGTAACTAATTCTGCTGTTACGAATCTTAATGTAAATATCTGAATATAGGATATTTGATATGTGACCCCTGTGAAAGGGTCATTCAACTGCCAAAGGGGTTTTGACCAACAGGATGAAAACCAATGTTTTAATAGTCTAGAATTTAAAATTTTTTGGAATGGTGGTATTTATTAATGGCACACAATGGCATATGTCAAAAGAATTACTGTGGCACTAAATTCCAGAAACTATACTCCGGGGTTAGTTGATTTATTTAGCAGCACTTTTTTGAGCTGTCTACTATTGTACTGAATGTTCAAAGATAAAAGATGAATAAAATTAAGCCTCCCAGTTTATACATTTGAGTTAGACAAATAATATTGTCAGTAGTTTGATGGGTCTTGTAATTAAACATAAGAGTAGAGCCCAGAGTGAGGCACAGAGGACAATAGTTATATTAACTGGGGAAGTTTCATACTTTTTTTTTTTTTGAGGCAGGTTTCTCTGTGTGGCCTTGGTTGTTGGTTGTCCTGGAATTCATTCTGTAGACCAGGCTGGGTTCCACCAGCCTCCGCCTCCTAAGTGTTAGGATTAAAGGAGTGTGCCACCACTGCCTGGCCACAAGTTTTTTTTTTTTTTTTTCTTAAGCAGTAGAGGTCAGTCAAAAGGTGGTTTGGAGTAGAGGTATCCACTTGTACATAGGCATAAATTAACATGAATCATTCAGAAAATTGTAAGCATGTTGACATGTAAAATACATAGGAGAGACCTAAATCTGAAATCCTTATATTTTTCTTTCGTCTTTTTGCTTGCTTGTTTGTAAACCTGAGTGCTAGGATTCCAGGCATCCATGTATGTTGAACAAAAAGAACCTAAATTGTTAAAGTTAAGTGGTGTCTGAGCTGGAGAGATAGCTCAGTGGTAAAGTGCTTGGTTTGTAAGCATGAAGACTTGAGTTTGGATCCCCAGCACCCATGTAAAAGCCAGGTGTAGTAGCATGATGTATAGTTCAAGTGCTAGGAGGTAGAGACAAGAAGGACCTGGGGCTTTCTGGGCAGCCAATCTAACTCAGTTATTGAACTCCAGGTTCATTGACAGACCTTGTCTGAGAAGATACAGTGGAAATGAAACAGGAAGACACCTGATGCTGACCTTGCCTCCACATAAACATGCATATATATACCACATTCACACACACAGAATGTTTGAGTATTTGATTAATTCATCTTAGCTAATGCATGTACTTTTATCTTGTTATAAAATTAACATTTTGTTTTTCTTTTAAAGATTTATATATTATGTATACAGTGCTCTGTCTGCATGCATGCCTGCAGGCCAGATGAGAGCATCTCTGTATAGACGGTTGTGAGCCGCCATGTGGGTGCTGGGATTTGAACCCTGGTCCTCTGGAAGAGCAGCCAGTGCTCTTAACCGCTGAGCCATCTCTCCATCCCCCTAACTTGTTTTGCTTTTATCAAAAACATATTATTGTACAACTTTAAAGTAAGCAGAGTGTGATTGAGTAATCCTCCTAAAAGTCTGGTGTTGGGGCTGGTGCTGGTGCTGGTGAGATGGTTCAGCAGGTAAAAGCACTTGCTACCAATCCTCACAACCAGAATTCAACCCCTGGAACTCATGTGATGGAAGGAGAGAATAAACTCCTATAGAGTTTTCCTCTAACCTCCATAGCATGGCATTCATGTGCACATAAAATACACCCTCACCTGTGCATGATAAATAGATCTAGTTTAGAAAGTTTTGAGCTAATATACTTATTTGAAAATAGTACCAGATTAATGTTTCAAATTTTGGTTTTACACAGAGAGATCTACACATCCAAATAGAAATTAGAATCACATGAACTGTGTCTTTTATTTGTTTTTTGGGGTTTTGTTTTTGTTTTTTTGAGACAGGGTCTCTGTGTAGCTCTGTGCTGGAACTTGCTCTGTAGACCAGGCTGGCCTCGAACTCACAGATCTGCCTGCCTCTGCTTCCTCAGTGCTAGGATTAAAGGTGTGTGCCACCACCATCTGGCCTTAATGAGTCTTTTATTCCTCCCTCTTTTCATTCCTTACGACTGAGTATTAATTAAGCCAGGGCCTTCTACATGGCAAGCAATCCTATACTATTGAGTTACTCTCTCTTTGCCCCTCTTTGTTCATTTCTTTTTCTTGAGATAGTCTTCTATAGATTGGACTGACCTGGAAATCATTGTGTAGCCTAGACTGGCCTCAAGCTTTTGGTAATTCTCCATGCGCAGCCTCCCAGTTGTTAGAATTTAGGTGTGAGCCACCACACCAAACTTCTACCCCCTTTTTGTTTTTTTAGCCCTTCTTGAAACAAACAAAAAAGGAGTTGGGGTAGGAGCCTTGAGAGATGGTTCAGTGGTTAAGAAGCACTTACTGGCTTTTCTTCCAGGGGACCTGGGTTTGGACCCAGCACCCATGTGACAGCTCATCTATAACTAATTTCAGTGTCAGGAGATCAGATGACCTTTTCTAGCCTCCTTGGGCACCAGGCACACACATTGTATAGGTAAAATACCCATAAACTTAAAAATGTAAATAAAAAATTGTGTGTGTGTACGTGCCATAGGGGTCTATGTTAGGTATCTTCTGTCATTCTCTACAATAGTATTTTAGGCTTGGTTTATTTGTATTTGCCCACATGTATGTATGTGCATAATGTGAATGTGTGAATACCTGGTATCTTTGGAAGTTAGGAGATACGGAGAGTTTTGAGCCACTGTGTGGATGCTGGGAACTGAACCTCTGTAAGAAAAACAAGTGTTCTTAACCACTGAGCCATCTCCCCAGCCTCTCTACATTATTTTTTTTAAAAGGGTCTCTCACCATTTTCCTTCCACCTCTGTGTTATAGTGCTGGGGACCTGAAATAATGCTTGTACCCATCTATCCACCTTCCAGCCCTAGCCCTTTATTTTTTGAAATCCATTCATAAATGATGGAAATTTTATTACTGCTGATATTTTTCTTTATTATTTTTCTTTTTTTTTTTTTTTTTTTTTTTTTGGTTTTTTCGAGACAGGGTTTCTCTGTGGCTTTGGAGACTGTCCTGGAACTAGCTCTTGTAGACCAGGCTGGTCTCGAACTCACCGAGATCCGCCTGCCTCTGCCTCCCGAGTGCTGGGACTCAAGGCATGAGCCACCACCGCCTGGCTATTATTTTTCTATAATTATATTTCTGTAATATAATATGTTAAAATATATATATTTTTGGTTTTTTTTTTTGAGGTAGGATTTCTCTGGCTGTACTGGATCTTGCTCTGTAGGTCAGGCTGGCCTTGAACTCACTGAGATCCACCTGCCTCTGCCTCCCAAGTACTGGGATTAAAGACGTGCCCCACTACTGCCCTGCTGTAATTAAATTTTTTATTTATCTACTTTGTATGTGTGAATATCATGTACCTTTATTTGCTAAGCCATCTCACTGGGCCTCTATCCTTTCTTTACTTGATTGTTTTTCTCCAAAGGAAATCGGCTATTAGATTTTTTTTTTTTTTTTTCGAGACAGGGTTTCTGTATTGTTTTGGAGCCTGTCCTGGAACTCACTCAGTAGACCAGGCTGGTCTCAAATTCACAGAGATCTGCCTGCCTCTGCCTCCCGAGTGCTGGGATTAAAGATGTGAGCCACCAACGCCCGGCTGTTTTTGTTTTTCAAAAGAAGTTTTCACTGTGTAGTTATTGCTGTCCTAGAACCTAGAACCCGCTTTGTAGACCAGGCTGGCCTTGAACTTACAGAGGTCCCCTTGCTTCTTTATTGTCAGTCAAGTCAGTCTTCTGTCTTAAAATTAAATCAACTTATTTCATTAAAAGTAAAAGTTGAAGCTAGTACTAGAGATCAAACTGAGGGCCTTTTGCATGCTATTCCAATCAAGCTACCTCCCCAGACTCCTTTTACGTATTTAATATGTCCATTTGATGTAACTTCCAGCTCACCATAAGAGTGATTTGCAAGCCAGGCATTGGTGGCGCACACCTTTAATCCCAGCACTTGGGAGGCAGAGGCAGGCGGATCTCTGTGAGTTCGAGGCTGGGCTGGACCGACAGCCTCCAAAACAATACAGAGAAACCCTGTCTTGTAAAAACCAAAAAAAAAAAAAAGAGTGATTTGTAAACATATCTTGTATTTATTTGAATCAGCCATACTGGCCACATTCTCATACCTTACATATTGTTTCTTCAGGTCAGGCCACTTGCCACTTTAAAACTTCTTTGACTGAATGCTGTGTAAGTTCTTTCTCCAGCTACTGTAATGTACAGTTGTATTAATTTTTATTTTCTCCCACAGATGAAGCTGAAGAAACTAATACCCTTGATGCAACTGCTGCTGGATTTGATCCTTTTTTGACAAGCTCATCTGACAGCAGGAAGTTGGCGTCTGAATCAAGTAGAAGCCTAACAGAAGAACAGCAACAGAGAATTGAGAGAAATAAACAGCTGGCCTTGGAAAGAAGGCAGGCAAAGCTACTGAGTAATAGCCAGTCCCTAGAAAATGGTAAATTTTATGCTGGTTTTTATGAGCTACCATGTAATATCAAGGGCATGTAGGAAATTTTAATGTCTTTACTATCTCTTGAAATAAAATACCTCTAGGAATAGAAAAGTGATGTTAAGTTTATGTATATTTTAGAGAGTGTGTCAGTGTATGTGTGTTTGCTATTTGAAATCTGTAGAGTGTCAAATCCTTCAGTAATATATTCTTCTCTGACTTCTTAAAGCACTTTACATGTATTTTTAGGATCATACTTAGGAAAATTATTATTGTGGAATCAATATATTTTAGCTTTTGGGATTGAACTCAGCACTTTGCATATGCTAGTCAGGTACTATATATACTACTGAGCTAGATCCACACACACATACTCTCTCTCCATTTATTCATTTGTTCATTCATTCGTTTATTCATTTGTTTGTTTTGAGGCAGGATTTTAAACTAATTCTGTAACCTAGTCAGGGCTTGAACTTGCTTTTATCCTTTCTCAGCCTTGTAAAGCTCAGACTATATAGGTTTGCACCACTGCTCCAGCTTGTGATACTTTATAATACAGCGTCTTCTGTACTAACTCAGGCTTAGCAGTAATTTTCTGTGATATAAATAGGGAACTAAAATGCCTTTTTAGGGAATGGCAGACACTGGAGATTGAAACAGGCTCTTACACAAGCTAGGTAAGCTCTCTTTCAAGGAACTGAATCTTCAATCCTTCCTTAAATTTTAATTTTGAGTTTGTCTTATTTATACAAGTAACTTCCCACTTACCCACTTAATGATCTTCTGCCTCAGCCTCCTAAGGTGATGGGAATGCAGTTGTGTGCTATGCACTTGGCTACTGAAATGCTTTCTAATACATTGTTCCATTTTTGTGATTTATACTTTTTATAGTTTGTCACCCACTTTAAAAATTGCCTTAAGTTTCCCAGTTTTCTGTTTTTTCTTTTTTAATAAACAAACCCTTGTGTTGAGGGCTGACTTTCAGTAGATAGTGAGGGAGCTGCTCTGGTACATATAAAACCCCAACCCAGAAGCAGGTCATCTTAACTTGCATTCAATATGATGGGGGAGAGGGCGGCCCCCTTTCCGTATCTCTGGAGAAATGGCTCTCTGCAACCAGGTCCAAAGCACAGCTGGTGGATGGGGAGCCAGCTATCAGGGGCCCCATTTTTATTTTTTAACTTATTCATTTTGGTTTTTTTGAGACAAGGTTTCTCTGTGTAGCCTGGCTGTCCTGGAACTCACTCTGTAGACCAGGTTGGCCTCGAACTCATATGCCTCTGCCTCCCAAGTGCTGGGATTAAAGGTGTGCACTGCCATAGTAAGCAGTCTGCACAGTTTTTGTTCCTTTTTCCTTCAGAGGTCAGAAGAGGGCATTTGATCCCCTGGAACTAGATTGAATGATGGCTGTTAAGCCACCATGTGGTGTGGGATTAGAACCTGGGTCCTCTGCAAGAGCAGCAAGTACATTTTACTGCTTAACCATCTCTCTAGCCACAAAACTCAATTAAAAAAAATTATTAGTTTACTGTTTTATATGTATGAGTGTCTTGCCTAAAGATAACATCTGTGTACCACATGTGTGTCTGGTGCCCATGAAAGCCAGAAAAAGGTGTCAGATCTCCTGGGACTGGATTACAGATGGTTGTAGGTGTTCTCTCTAGCTCCTCTCAAAACTGTATTTTAAAAGAATTATACTACCTTGTATGAAATTATTGAGAATTAATTTTAAAAATAATTTAATGTTTAGTGGCATGCACCAGCACTTACTAGACTGAAACAGAGAGATTAAGTGAGGGTGTCCTGAGCTACATAGTTCTGGGCTAGCCTGAGTTACAAAGGAAAGACCTTGTCACTAAACAAAAGTTGGGAATGTATCTGTAATTGTTTCCTTTTGAGTAGAAAAAAAAATAAGAATTACAGCAAATGAGGTTGGAGAAATGGCTCAGCAGTTAAAATAAGCACTTGCTACTCCTGTAGAGGACCTGTGTTTGGTTGTGAGCACCTACATCGTGTGGTTCACAATAGCTTATAACTGAAGGTTTTTTCGAGACAGGGTTTCTCTGTGGCTTTGGAGGCTGTCCTGGAACTCCCTTGGTAGTCCAGGCTGGTCTCGAACTTACAGAGATCCACCTGCCTCTGCCTCCCGAGTGCTGGGATTAAAGGCGTGCGCCAACAACGCCTGGCCCTTTATAACTGAAGTTTTAAGGTATCCAGTGCTCTCTTCTGGCCTTCTTGGGCACCCACACACTTGTGTGTGTACACATACATGTACATATAAATATAATAAAAACCTACAGAAAAGAATTGTAAGTAAATACCATGTTGTAAAATGTTTCTTCCAATATAACAATTCTCAAGCAAATGTTGTAATCTAGTCTTGATTTTCAGTCAGGATAAATATCATTATATCATTTTTATCTTTTTTATCTTTTTTTTTTTTTTTTTTTTTTTTTTTTTGGTTTTTGAGACAGGGTTTCTCTGTGGCTTTGGAGGCTGTCCTGGAACTACCTCTTATAGACCAGGCTAATCTGGAACTCACAGAGATCCGCCTGCCTCTGCCTCTTGAGTGCTGGGATTAAAGGCATGCACCACCACCGCCCGGCCTCATTTTTATCTTAACAAAAGATTTATTAGTATGTGAGAAATCATGAAGGGATGGAGAAATGACTCATTGGTTAGGAGTACTTGCTGCAGTTCCAGAATACCAGAATTAGCTTCTCAGCACCCATGTTGGGTGGCTTATGACTGTTTGTAACTGTAGTTCCAGATTTGATAACTCTAACCTCAAGGGGCTCATGTACTCTCGTTTACATACCTACACATAATGAAAAATAATAACAAATATTATTTGTAGCATCTCAAAGTATGCTTGCTTGACACTAGGGATCTAATACTCATTTTCTGTTTGTTATATAACTTAAAGTTTGTTTCTCCCCCAGACAGGATTCTAAGTGCTGAATAGGCATGTGCCATCATCCTTGGCTTAAATTATCTTTACCATAGATCACTTTGACATAAAACTTAATTGCGTCTGTGTTGACATTGTGTTTGTGTGTGCACATATGCATGCTCCTGCATGTGCCACAGCATACAAGTCGGAGGACAACTTGAGAGTCTGTTCTCTCTTTCCACTATTGGGTTAATCAGAAGTGACAGCAAAGCATCTTTTCCAACAGAGTCATCTTGCCTGCCCTATATCTGATTTCTTTGGATCACTTTCTAATTTCCATTTTGAATGAGAAGTTACATTTGAGTAAAATTGAAGATTTGAATGTAGGACTTGAATGTATCATTTAGGACCCTCTTTTGTGTGGGAGTGCCAGGATTTAATCCAGGGCCTCATGTTGCTAATCTATATTCATTCTATAATTGGGTGATCTACATCCACTTTCCTGGGACCCTTGGCATTTTAAGTGTGTTTTATGCATGTGTGAAAAACTGGTTTATATTTAGACTTTAGTAATCATAACAAGGGGATTATAGATTTGTTTCTACCAAGTAAGCTTTTGGAGAGATTTGTATTTATCCAGATTGAGTCAGTTGCTTATAATTGGTAATAATGATGTGATTCCTTTCTCAGATGTGTCAGTGAATACATCTTGGGCACAGACAGTAGAAGAGAGCGGTACTGGTGAGGATCAAGAAGAATCAAGCGGATTAAACACAGACACTGTAGATGCCCCACACGATGTTCCTTCTGCCGGTACAAATGAAGAAGAACAGTTCAAAGCAGAGGAAAAACAGCTGGACCATACTAACAGAGACTAATCCAGAAATGTTCCAAGTAGCCAGATTCCTACAACAGAATCCTGCAAATTTGGGGTTATTTGTAGATCTTTCTACTTTGTATAAGTCTGAGTCCTAAGACTTCATATGGATTCCTGCTTAAAATGCAATGTGTCTCCTACTAGCTATTTTAATACATCTATTTATTATTTTTGGTGTTCTGTATAAATTCAGCTTTATAAGCTGTTTGCAGTTTGCACTGAATTCTTTCACTAAATTGGGTAAAGTTTTAAAATGTAAATATGCACTGACTATTAAAGTCTGTTTTTATAAAGAAATGTATTTTGCAAACAACTCTCAGGATTTTCGTTTCTCACCATGGTTTGGTTATATAATTTAAACTTTTGCTAAAATGGTTGAGGGTTTTGACTACAGTTTTGTTGAGACCCACTCTCATTACATCATCCTGACTGACCTGAAATTTGTGGTGAACCTCCTTGCTTTTGCCTTCAAGTGCCAGGACTACGATATGTGTGTGTGTCATCTCCAGTACTGGTTTTGAAACAGGGTCTTACTGTAACCTCATCTGGTCTGAAAACTCACTGGGATCTGCTTGTATTTGCCATGTGTGCTAGCTAGAACTAAAAGTGTGTGCCACAAAACCCAGCTTGTCTGTATTTTGAAGAGTTGCTTTAATGTTTAAAAGATCACATACAAGGTTGGTAATGCCTCTCCATTAATGATGGTAAGTGAGTTCAGAGATGTTTATAGGTTGAGAATGTGCTAGAAGGCTTGTGTAGGGCCTGTAAGATAATGGGTATGAAACTTCAGCATCTCCAGAAAACAGAATGGCCCTCCATGTTTCTATTCATTGGAGAGAAACTTGGAGAATATTGTGAGGGTCAGTGTACAGCAAGGGGTCACATGAAACAGTTGTCAGTTGGTAGAGGGGATTCTGAGTATTGGGAAGCATGTGTGTAATGCCAGAAATACAGGAAATAAAGATTTGGAATGATGAGGAGGAGGCTAGAGGTGATGGGGCCAGATGAAGAGAACCTGACTGGAGTTTAGTTGCTTTATGAGCCTGGTAGAGGGACTAACTCCAGCTGAGAAACACCAAGTTGAGAAGTTTATGGTCTGGTTCCTAGCAGCAAATACCCACTAGAATTGGGGGAAAGACTGAAGATGGAGGAGATAACATTTAGTGACAAAGGCAGTCGTTCTAAAGAAAAAAAGTCTCTTGCCTCTTCCTAAGGGGAAGGGTTATGGTGCTACAGTGGGCTGACATCAAGTAAGTTGGTAGTAACAAAGATGGTTTGGAAAGCCAGGAAGTTGGGCACAGACTGTGGGTTGTGGGCTTATGGGAACTATCTCAGTGATTGGCCAGGGAAAAATGAATCAAGAGGACAGGCTCACTGTTTAGGCAGGGAACAACTAGAAGACGGAGGCTGGTCTCAGCATACCCCTGATACCAGGAAGGCTATAGCAGGCTTCCAGGCACACTCGCTGTCTAGATCAGAGAAGGGCCGGTGGGAGAAGTATTACTTTTCCAGTGGTGAATTTGGGAACACTTCTCCAAGGCTTGACCATTGGAGGTACACAATAGAATTTGAGGGTGGGAAAGGAGTTTGAGGCAAGATTTACACCACCCTTTCCGTGCCCTGTGTCCAGCTGAAGAACAATACGGACAGAACTATTTTACCTGAAATGGCTAAATGACACCAGAGGGGACTGTGATCTAAATATGTCTGTAAAAACTACAAAATAAACATTTGAAAGGATCAATTTGAGCCAAGTGTGGTGGCACATATATTTAATCCCAGTAGTCCAGTGGCAGAGGCAGGAGGATCTCAGTGATCAGCTTCATCTGCACAGTCTAGGCTAGCCAAGACTACAAAGTGAGACCCTGTCTCAAAAAACTAAAAAGAAACTAGCAACCTGCCTTTTACAGCCCCATCACTGTCTACTAAACTGCTGAAAAGCCAATTTCTAGTAGTCAAGAGTAGTGGTGCATGCCTTTAATCCCAGCATTTGAGAGGCAGAGACAGATGGATCTCTGAGTTCAAGACCACACTGGTCTAGACCAACCATAGCTATATTATGAGACCCTGTCTTGAGGAAAAAAAAAAACCACACAAAACAACAAAAAAGCCAGTTTACATAGGGAGTTAATTCTACTTCAATGAGGTATGAGCACAAATATGTGGAGTACCCACTTAATCTCCTTTAGCTAGAACATAAAGTGACGACATTTAAGTTTGAAAAGACAGTGTGACTCCTAAGACAAAGTTCTTTATTGAAGTAGAAGTATTTCACATTACATAACTGTCTGAAACATCCAGAAGAGCAAGGTCCCTTATCTCCTCCAGAAGTGTGTATAGACTTCTTCCTTTTGTTTGGCAGAATTCTTGATACTCCTCCTGAAGCACCTTGCCTTTGACTTCTTGGGCAAGCTGAGCTTCTTCCACAGATCGGGTTACTTCTTTCACTAACTCACTTCTCAGCAAGAGGGAACTCTGGTGGCACAGTTCTGGGTTTGGTGTCATATATGGTTTGTTGCTTATTATTTCAAGCCTGATTGTATCAGAATGGCAACGCAAGGCCTGGACAGATATTTTTACCTAGCACAGAGAAATACATGTTATGAAATCATGTACCTTTTGTCCTCACTTTGGAAACAACATTGAATGTACACAGACTTACTGTTACATGGTCAAACAGATGAAATGTAACAGACTGTCCTCCAGCTGTGGTAGAGGTGATCTTGTTCTGAGATCGTTGCAGGGATCCCGGCTTCCATTCTGAGCTGCCTTCTGGGTCACATGATATCACTAAGCCATCTTTATTCTTCAGATAAGCAGCACCTTTAATCCCAAACCTAAATCATCACCAGGGTAAAACCGAGATAATGTATTAGTATGCAGATCTTCTATGCTTAGCCACTCTTCCTGTGGTTCACCTCCAAAAACATTTTTTACAGAAGCAGATAAGAAACAATGCTTTGCCGACTAAGATCCTAAGACTGATATAGATATGTTTACATATGCACTCCCAATTGCTCCTGTTATTTCATGACTATATTACACTGTGTACATACAGTAATTTTATGAATAGTGTATATATGTACCATTGCATATGCTAACATAGAGAGTTTGAAAAAAATCTCATTCTGTAGCCATGGCTGGCCTAGAGCTTGCTTTGAAGACCAGTCTGGCCTCGAACTCGGAGATCTGCTTATGTCTGCCTCTTGAGTATTGGCATTAAAGGCATGTCCCACCATGCCAAGCTTATATTCTTTTTTAGAGATAAGGTCTTATATAGTGTAAGCTGGCATTAAAATCATTCTGTAGCTACGGATGGATGACCTTGAACTTGTGATCTTGCTTTACAGGCATGTCACCATACCTGGTTTTATGCTATGCTGGGATCAAACCCAGGACTTCATATGTGTTAGGCAAATACTCCACCTTTGAGCTACATACCCCCAGTCTAAATAATATTTTAGTAAGTTATATATATCATTTGTGTTCAACACTGATATAGTTTAACTGTGATTTCTCATTAACCACTGCATGAGAAGTAACATACCTTGGTATAAATACAAGCACACCATTTGTTCTAATTGAATAAATCACTCCATCGGCCATGCAGCGCTCCTCTGTTTCCGGGTCTCTGTCTTTAAAGTACATGCACTGGAAGAGCTCAGTGGACTGCTTCTGAGAATGCTGGGCTGCCTGTAAGAAGCACAACCCCGAGCATGACAACAGAGTTCCCTGATGTCCAGGAAGAAACCCCAGACTCATTCAACAGTGTGGTGGTGCAAGCCTGTAATCCCAGTACTTGGGAGACTGAGAAAGGAGGATTGGCCATCCAGAGTAAGTTGTTGTTTCAACTAAACCAAAGAAGAGACAGAGCAATCCCTTCTCAAAAAAGAAAAACAAGAAAAAATAGATCAAGCAGGAGTGAGATGTGAAGGGAAGGCTCACTGGGTAAAAGCTCTTTCTGTGCAAACCTTATCATACTAGTTCAATCCCTAGAACCCATGTAAAGCCAGATATGGTGGCGCATATCTGTAATCCCAGCATTCCTATCACTGATGAAAGGCAGAAACAGGAGAATTGGCCAGAAGCTCACAGCTGTACTCGCCAGCAATCCTGGAGTGCACAGTGTAGCAGTGTGCATGCACACACACTAAGACTGATGAGATGCTCAGTGGCTAAAGGCACTTATAACTGCCAAACCTGACAGCCTGAGTCTATCTCTGGGATGAAGATGGCAGAAAGAGATTACCAACGCCCACAAATTGTCCTTTGACTTTTACTTGAATGTATAGATACATACACACAATAAACAAATAAATAAATAGAATTTAAAAGTTTTTAAAGATACAAAAAATTAATCCAGGTGGTGGTGGTGCTGGCAGCAGCAGCAGCACACGCCTTTAATCCTAGTACTCAAGAGGCAGAGGCAGGTGGATCTCTGAGTGAGTTCCAGGACAGCCTGGACCTCATAGAAAAACCCATCTCACCACTCCCTCCCAAAATTCTAGACAATGGTAACTTTTTTGGGGGAGGGAGCGGGGTCTTATTACTGTGTAGCCCTGGCTGTCCTGGAACTCACTATGTAGGCCAGGATGACTTCAAACTCACTGCCTGCCTGTGCCTCCCAAGTGCTGGAACTAAAAGCATCTGCCATCCTGCTCCCACTTTCTTCCTCCCTCTCTCCCCCCTCTCCCCCCCCCTCTCTCTCTCTCAAAAACAAACAAACAAACAAGTATTCCCCAAATCATGTTATCTCAGAACACTAGTAAATGTACTAAGAGCACCGGTTACAATAATAATGGTATCTCATTCTCTTAAGATTAAAGCTGATACCCTCTTGTGAGACAGGCAGGAGGTTGAAATTCCTTCTTACTCGGTTTCTGTTGTTGATATGTCTGCATAACTCCTCAAGATCTTTGTTGCTGAACAAACTTTCTTTCATTTCCATCTTCTTGTCTTTTGAAATGGCTGCCATTAACAGTCGGTGTACAACAATATCTGAATATCTTCTTATCGGAGAAGTAAAGTGAGTATATTTATCTAATGCAAGACCTTCAAAATGAAACCAAAGCATCAGAATGTAGAACAGACAAGAGCACTTTTGAAAAGATTTGCTCAAGGTTAAACCATATGTAAGACAATTCTGTCAGTCACCGTAATGATGGAACTCTTCCTCTGCACAGGATCCGGTGGAGAAGTAGAGTGCATTGGACATGGCCTGAGTGGCCATGGAGCGCAGCAGCTTGTTCACCATAGGGTCGCTGGGGTCATTTGCACTATCCAGAGAGTCAGCCAGGGTTTTATTGGACCTAACAAGGAACAGAGAAGCACTGATGGGTCTCCAAAGGCAATTTATGTGTAACACTTTCCACCTCTTGATTTAAATATCTTCATCTACCAGCAGTTAAATTTATTTTAGCCACAAGTTTCTTTTCAATACAGAAATTTAGTTTGCTTTTAAGGCTTAAAGAAAGACTACTGGGTGTTGGTGGCGCATGCCTTTAATCCCAGCACTCAGGAGGCAGAAGCAGGCAGATGTCTGTGAGTTTGAGGCCAGCATGGTCTGCAAAAAACCAAAATAAAATTATTTATTTTCATATATATATGTGTGTATGTTTCCATGCATTCATATGGTGCAGTAGCCCACTAAAGTCAGGAGGTGGCATTGGATCTTCTAGAACTGGAGTCAGAGGCAGTTGAGAGCTGCTATGTGGGTGCTGGGAATCAAGCCTGGATTCTCTGCAAGAACAATCAAGTCATTTTGCTCTTATGTGCTCAACCATCTCTCCAGCTCCCAGAATTCATATTTCTTAAGCAGTAATGTCCCATTAATACAAGGCTTTAAATCAATGTTGACTGAAATAGGTAGTCAGGTTCTTGTGGAATTACATTCTTTTTTTTTTTTTTTTTGGCAGGGAGGGGTATCGAGACAGTGTTTCTCTGTGTAGTCCTGGAACTCTTCACTCTGTAGACAGGCTAGCCTTCAACTGAGAGATCCCTCTGCCTCTGCCTCCCTTGTACTAGAATCAAAGGTGTGTACCCCCTCCCCCACAGTGGAGTTACATTCATAATACACTCAACCGTAAGCATCCTATACAGGCCAAAGAATGGGCTTTTTGTTTTTTTTTTTTTAAAGATTTATTTATTTATTATGTATACAGTGCTCTGCCTGCATGTATTCCTGTAGGTCAGAAGAGGGCACCAGATCTCATTACAGATGGTTGTGAGCCACCATGTGGTTGCTGGGAATCGAACTCAGGACCTCTGGAAGAGCAGCGAGTGTTCTTAACCTCTGAGCCATCTCTCCAGCCCGGGCTTTTTGTTTTTTATTTATCAAGAACTATTTAGTCAGAGGGAAGTTTTAAAAACAAGGCAGCAGGGATGGTGGCACACTCCTGTACTTCATGAACTCCAGAGCTAAGCAGGAAAACATGGTGAAAACCTGCCTCAAAAAAAGCAGACAGACCTAAACTTGAAGTAAACCTACGTTACTTTTCTTTTTTAAAGAGAAAAAGAGATTTATTTACTCTAAAGCAAAATTTAAACTCTTAGGAACATATTGGTATATTAAAAATAAAACCAAGGGGGCTGGAGAGATGGCTCAGAGGTTAAGAGCACTGCTTACTCTTCCAGAGGTCCTGAGTTCAATTCCCAGCAACCACATGGTGGCTTACAACCATCTATATTGAGATCTGGTGCCTTCTTCTGGCGAGATGACATATGTGTAGGCAGAACACTGT